ATATCTCTGATACAACATAGTCGGTTGTCCGACTCCAACTATGTTCAGTATCAAATAATCATGGTACCATGCAGTGCGAAAATTGTATCATGCCCTACTAGAGGGCATGTAAATAACCTGAGATACGCAATCATGACAGTACCTTAACCACTTAGGTTCGAACCTACAAAGACCCACGGAGCTTAGGGGTTTCCACTGCTGTGATACACGTTGCTACAAAGTAACGGCAAGTAGTCCATGTGTTTGAACATGACAATGGTGCAGGTTAGCCTTGTCAGTAGTGCTTGGCTTTGACTGACTGACTGACTGACTTTGGTTTTACGCCGCTTTTAGCAATATTCCAGCAATATCACGGCGGGGGACACCAGAAATTGGCTTCACTCATTGTACCCATGTGGGTTGGCTATGATAGTCAACCAGTAGTATATTGCTTGATCACAACGTTATCACGTGTAAATCCTCGCACCTTCACCTGTTCATAGAGTAGGTGGGAATATCGTCTCACCCAACCTCCCGCTTCATGTTCCACACGCACGCACGCACGCACGCACGCACGCACCCACGCACTCACGCACGCATGCCTACATCTATTTTATGTGGTTTCAAGTCAGACGAGTCCGGGAAAATCAAATTCGGTTGAATAGTTTAAATTATGCCATGTTATATTGGTTGTTTAATGACGCACTCAGCCATATACCTACTTTCTGACGGTGGTATGTTAATATTAGAGTTTGTAGCAGACAATCTTGTATGTGCATCTACCCACGCAATTAGGACACGATGTCATGCATATAAAACGTCAGCTACTGTGGCCAGCGTGACGAATCACATAGTAAGTAATATCGTTAACAAGAGATTTTGTTCCCGGTGTGAAGATGCCCTTGTTTCTTGTGGCTTCCCTCTGCTACAACGTAAACACGCTCACTGACAGCAACCTCTAATCTGGTTTTCTGAAGACCGTTTGCCGGTTTACCTCCTTCTACGGTATTGATTTATAGCGAAACACAAATTTTAGAAATGGCCATGTAAAAGAAAATGTTTAATTTCATTACAGTCCGGCTCTGAAATTCATGCCGACCACAGCTTAGCATTTTATGTTGTGTGAAAGCATCGTTCTCAAATGTTGTTCGCAGAAAAACTGGCAGTTTTGAATAAAAACAGGAAAAATGAAATCAGTTTATAAAAAAGGAAGGGTTCCTCCTGGTACCTTTCTTTTTGGTTCTGCAATTAGAAAAGACTTGAGACCTATTCAGTTCATAAAAGAATATCCAGCTTGTCAATTTGTGTCATGTGTTGTGAAAGACGAAACACGACTGCAAATTGAATATTTTTTATACTATCAGATTACCAAATACTCGCCTAATTTCAAATGGCAGATTTAGAAATAGTTAAAAACCTAACCATGAAGACTTCGGATAACGTTTGGGAAATAATATTGATCGAGTTAATTGCCATTTTCGCGGCTTAAATACAAAAGCAACCCGTTGCCGTTTGCATAATCAAAAGTTTCTTGAGTAAAAGAAACCTCCGCCATGTGTTCTTTATCTGTTTCGTTAAATTACACTGATCACACGTCGGGGTGACAGCTGACAAGTTGCTAACGACCATCGCACCTGACATCTGTTAGTCAATTATGTAATATCCTTTATATGGCACAAGCAGCATGATTGAAATGACTCCCGTTCTCAAGCAGGAGTTCTTTGGTTGTCAGTATTGAATCAGTGTGAGGCAGAACACATCCGTAATTGAAAGCCAAGGTGGTTTACAATGAATAGTGGGGCATTGCCACACTCTCATGCGTACATCAACTTGTCAATATTGTATGCGATCGCCATAGAAAATGTTACGCTGTACAGAAAGAAAGTTTAGGGGAAAATGCATGACATTTATAAACTGATGCTGAACCCATATCTATAAGTATGCTGAAAATATAGATAGCATGGTGACAAAAGTCTGCCGTTAACCCGTGTACAACTTAGCATGACTTGGGAATCATTAGCTTATTATTAGAGCAGAGGTATATATCTTCTTGACTTGTTTCTTCAGTGCTATTAATTTCACACAATGTTGGTGACATTTGAAAAGCATAGCTAAGTAGAAACTATTCCCTTCTGGAAAAAAACTACAAATGTAATTTGATAAGATACCACAGTTTGACTTCTATCAGAATAATATCGCAAGAATTAACACTTATTTTGGGGGAAAACCTAGCAGGCACAGTAATTACTTTGATAATACCAACATGTCTGTTATTTTTAATTTTTGTAAATAAAACAAGAATCGTTGAAATATGGACTTGATATATATGCCATGTCACAATGATGAAATACAGTTCGAGAAATCTCAAAGGAAAAATCTAAAGTGGGAGAAGTCCAAAGTCAAATGCATTGTGAACGAATGGCACAAACTAAGCCCATGGTCAGAGAAGCCATCATTGACTTCAACAAAACAAGGTACTTGAGAGTGCCACCAACATCAAGGGGTTGTTTCCAATTACATCTGACATGATCAACAAATGAAGGAGGCTTCTCCTCCAGATGGTTATCGACAGAAGAAGCTGCTAAAGATTTCAGGTTTTACTTTTAGACATAATTTGTAGGATCCATCATGGTCTCTCAAAGCCATTAACTAGCTTATCATCAGAATCTTGTCAAATTAATTATATATCTCAGTGTGTAGAGTTCACTCAATCAGATTCGAACAGATTCTGCTTCTGATCACGTCTCCAATAGATAACTGTAAATAAATTTGCCCGTAAATACCACAAAGGAATGAAAGAAATATGAGCACATGTCATCGGGTTTGATTGCGAAGACTACGTATTATCTGTCCAGGCTGCTAACACTTCGTGGTCTCTTCACAATACGACATGTAAATCATAGAACTCCATTCAGAACCCGTTCCTTTGGTACATGTCTTTCAGCTGCAGTGAAGCTCATGCACTGAACAAGTTACCATTCGTTAAGTCATCTACATCACTGTCCCCATATATAAATCAGATCAAGTCCTATTTATCAGTGAGTGAGTTTAGGTTTTAGCAATAGCTTCAGCAATATCACGACACCAATATCATACGTTGTTTCCATGTGGAGAATCGAACTCGGGCCTTCGGCGTGACGAGCTAACACTGTAACCACTTGACTACACCACCGTCCCTACTCTTCAGTTAAAACAACAAGACGTTTCCGAAGAAGTCAGGAGCATCTGTTTATGATGTTCTTGAAACATTTTGTGTATCCTGCCACACTGGTGGCTCATGGCACAAACACGTGCATGTCAAGTCAATTACTCATTTGAAAAACACGGGGAAATATGATATAGGTAAAAATAGACATTGTATAGGACATTGGACATCAAAAGAAATCAAATCCGATTCGAGTCAGGCGAATTATATCATTACACTGATCATGCTTCCTGCTGAGTGAGTGATTGAGGATTATGCCGGTCTGAGCAATAGTTCGGTTACAACATGGCGCGTCAGATTGATATGGGAGGAAAGATCAAAGTGATGAGGATCTTAGACTTTAATCATTTTAATCACACGAGAATGGGTATGACCCAAGCAAACCTAAAAGCATGATCAAATCGAATCGAGGATGCGACACCACAATCTTTAATTTCTCGCATGCATGAGAGACACAACTCTGCACAGTGATTTGCGGCGCACTACAGAGCTAGGCCATTCGTGCCCCGACTGAATGAGTGCTTATAAATGAGGCCTTGGATGTTGAAGCCTTTGAATTGGACGCTCTTGAAATCTTCGCAAAGAGAACATGCTCAATTGCGCCTCAAAAGTTGTGAAGAAAGAAAGTTTACCTTTTGAGTACACAGAGCATACTATGATTTTCGGGGGAATATGATTGCATAGTATTCGCATAAGTACTCACAGCACCAGGTGACTCATGATTACTGAGTGCATGAATTTTGTTTTACGCCGCACTCAGCAATATTCCAGCTGTATGGCGGCTGTATATTATCGAGTCTGGACCAGACAATCCAGTGATCAACAGCATGAGCACCGATCTACTTCATGAGAGGCGAGCTGAATCAGGTTCTTAGTGGCCTAGCTGGCTGCATGCCATTGTACTCTAACGGCGTAGTACCTTGCTCATGATATCAATCACTAGTCAGCTAGTCCAGACTTACATCTTTTACTGGTTGCCGTTATACAGCTTGGTAATGCCGAGAGAGGCGTTAAAACCCCAACCACAAACGCAGCCTGTAAAGGTACGTGACTGACTGCCATTCTCACTACACTGCCCTGTATACTGATCTCCGTATGGACTTGGGTGTCGTTGGAAAGAGTCGACAATAGTGTATCCGTCATGCAATCCAGCGCTTACTGTTAACGCGGTGAAATATGCCTGGGATTTGGGGTGGAACATTAATACCATTTGTTAATGACACTGATAATTAGATATATATCATGCCAGACTTCAAAACCACCTCCAAAACTAATCTGCATATTTCCGTTTCGTGGTGAAGATACAACTTCAGCCATTGTAGACGTGACGGGCAAAACATACACACTGCTATTAGAAACTGCAGAGCTTCCCTATAGGAATATAAAAAGGAGAGAAAATCCTTCTCACAGCAACAAATCATGCTGGCTAAGACATCTGTCGGTCCCAAATCAAACAGAAGATGACTCAAATACAGCACAACGGGAAAGGGACAAAACAAAATCCCCCCAAAAATGCCATGTAAAGAATAAGAATTTACATTTACATTTAACATTATGTATGCAATGCTATATCTTGCATGTGTGTGAGAGATAAGGAAACGCATTGCTTGTGCCGTATACCATAACAAGCGGTCATAATTCAAATAGACATTATTTCCAGTTTCTATACACGGATCGTCTGGAAGCCTGACATCTGTATACAATGGCTCCAAGGAAGTTACAGATTTCATTCCTACCCATTCGTAGAAACACTCGCAGTCCCATTTTGGAAAATCACCAGTCATCATTCCGACGTGTTTCTCACTCAGATGACAAGTTGGTGGCAGTATGCGGTGTCATGGCAACCATGAGTAATCACGTTTACATCATCATCAGGTCTTAGGTGTTCATGAAACTGACACTTTGAAATATTCTTGTATGTTTTTATGCTTTTTCTTTTTCGCTGGAACTTGCAGTATTGATCAAACAAGTATGTCTTTAGCTGTGGTTTGAAAGAAGAGACAGTAGTAGCAGTTTTGATAGTATCTGGAAGACCGATCTATCAGCAAATGTTTCTGGCGTTGTTTGACTTCCTTCAATGAAACAGAGTATTATCTCGTTCTTTCTGTGGCCATTCCATCCAGTGATTCAGTAAAGAGACGCAACAAATCCTCCAAAGCAATGGTATAACCTGGCCATTTAACCAGGGCTGGGTCGACGTCTTTAGGATGACGGAAACAGATTTAATACATTGAAGTTTGCAGTTTGATCCAGTTAATATACTGAACATCATTGAAAACGCACCACCTGTAAATTTTGAAATGTGGTAATAGGATTGTTTTGAGAGTGAAAAAGAACGTTGGAAATGTTGTTAATAACACAAAAGACAATACATAATGCTGTACAGTAAAGAACGGATTGCCCGAACACATCATGGAACACATCACATGACAACAACAAAATTCATGCACAACACACACGAAAAGCACAAATTGCATGCGTAAAACATACTGATTAGTGGTATAAGTGACCGTCGGCAAAAAACCGTTCTCATTTTAGCTGTACCTCCGCAAGTAAAGTATATTTTGCAATGCCAATATTGTCACCAGAGGAACGAGAACGGGCGTTGGGCATGTTGCAGGTTGGCACATCAAGCAGGATTATTGCCATACGATTCGGTTGCCATCATTCCACGATCATAAGACTTGCCAACAGGTACCAACAAACAGGAACCACCAGGGACCGCCAACGTCCTGGCCAGGCACGTGTTACCACCCCTCGCCAAGATCGAGACATTGTTCGGCGCCATATTCGGGATCGTACGTTGCCGGCTGCCAGAACCGCAAACGCTGTCCAAGGCCGACGTGGTTTGAACAGTGCTTCCACCGTCCGACGCCGTCTCCGTGCGGCAGGATTACGGTGTCGACGTCCTTATGTTGGACCAATCCTGACTGATAGACATCGCCGTGAACGCCAACGATGGGCTGAACAGCATCGTTTGTGGTTGTTCCGACGTTGGCATGGTGTTGTGTTCTCCAACGAGTCACGTTTTCACTTGCGAAATGCTGACGGGCGTCTACGGGTATGGCGTCGACGGGGAGAACGTTACCATCAGGACTGTGTTGTGCAAACAGATCGGTGGGGTGGAGGAAGCATTATAGTGTGGGGAAGGATCAGTTATCATCACAAAACCGCTCTTGTAGTTTGTCGTGGCAGAGTGAATGCCCTTTACTACCGTGACGCCATTCTTCAGAACAACGTCGTTCCCTTCTTTAACCAAAATCAAGATCTGCACACATTCCAGCAGAACAATGCTCGAGCGCACACTGCACGTGTTGCAACACAGTTTCTGGCAAACAACAACATTCCTCTACTTCCATGGCCTTCATTGTCACCTGATTTGTCTCCCATTGAACACTTGTGGGATTACATCGGCCAACGCCTCTCACGTCGCCCACAGATCAACAACCTTGGGGAACTTGAGAATGCCTTGCAACAAGAGTGGAATGCATTGCCTCAAAACATTATTCAGAGACTTATCAGTTCAATGAGGAGACGTTGCACAGCTTGTGTTGCTGCTAACGGTGGTCATACACGTTACTGACTTTACAATTTGACTCCATCTTTCTTTCATGGTCAGCTGAATTAAAACTTCACTGTTTTGCTGGATTGGTTCTTGTTTCTTTTCTTTACCAATCATTGGACTACAAAAGTATGTAAAACTTACACCGATTGCTCATTTATGCTCTTGGAAATCCAAACTAATACAGGTGGTGCGTTTTTAATGATGTTCAGTATATGTGTGAACATTCTTTAAGGTGGACAGCATCGGAGGTCATATGCATTAGTTACAATAGAGGGATAATAGTAATGAGTTACAGGTCATCCGTTGACGCTTGCTCAAGTGCTGACAACATTATTACTCCGATCAATGTTTCAATATGTACTCGAATTTCTTTCTCAGCTCCCTTGGGAGAACACACGCCGAGCTACTGATGAGGCGATAAAAGTCTCGAAACCATTCCACCTTACCATGTACCCATTCGGGTCGGTGATGTAGCCTAGTGGTTAAAGCGTTCGCTTGTCTTGCGGAAAGCCCGGGTTCTATTCCCCACATGGTTACAATGTGTGAAGACCATTTCTGGTGTACCCCGCCGTGATATTGCTGAAACATTGATAAAAGCGGCGTAAAATCATACTCACTCACTCATGAACCCATTCACTACTCCAGGCCTTACAAAGATGCATATTTGGAAGTTACTTGCATATGGAGACACCACATTTGCTTCATGTGCTTCAGCGCACAACAGCACCGAAACTTTAGAAAGTCACACAGATCTCTGATGGCTCGTACTTTTCCACTAATGTTATTCATTTAATGCGGAGATCGGGAATATTTTCGGAATTGCATATCAGGATTGTGTTTGTGCCACACGACGAAATGCTAGGAGATGAGTTCGAAAGTAGGGGTGTATTTTGTGATGATAAGAGATAATAATTTTTTAAGTAGATGTGAGCTTAAGTAGACTTATTATATTTTTTATTCGCTCGTCAAGCTGAAGACATAGGTTCGATTCCCCACTTGATGTAGGTCTCAGACATTTACTTCTTTGGTGAAACCATCGTGTACCGGTATGTTGCATCAACAGCCCCGTCGTTTTAACACTTCTACTGGTAACCTTAAAGTTGGGTACGAATATGATAATACAATTCCAACAAGCATGGGTAATTTAGGTAATTTTCGCATTTTTCGTTATTTAACTACTTTTATGTATTATTTGATCCTTTACAATACCATCACCGGTTCTATCGCTGTAACATACCACGGGATATTCGCCAACATTCCTGGCGTCGAGATACGGATATGAATGCGGAGCATAGTATGACTGATCGTGATCAGTTTACGTCTCTGGGAGACGTTCGTAGATCGGGGAATGAATGGTGCCAGCACATGCCCACATTCTGTTAATCGACCTGTGTATTCATAAAATATTCCATTATTTGCAGATGCGTTCATAGATTGTCTCACGTTTCCATTAATTAACATGCTTATGAACTTGCTCTCCATGAAAGTCATTAGTTGTCGAAAGTTAATGAGGTTAAGGCCTGAATGATACCCCAGGAAGAGATATGAATCTTGATTAAACACGAAGTAATTACATGTACTGTGTGTGTGATGGTGGGAGTAATCTTTTAAGATAATTGAATTATTTATCCTCCTGGCGTCAGTATCCTAATTGCACGAACTTGATGTATATACATATATGTACACCAAAACCCTTTAGATGAAAACAAGTTTCTTGTTCTTGGCATTGTCACCTCCTGAGTTAATTAATATTAATATTAATATTGAAATAACGTGTTGTGAAATATGAACAATGGTGAGGATTTAGTTGTTGAAGGTGTAAATTATTGGTTTTTAATATTTTCTGTGTCATTTTATATTTTTATTTAGCATCATCATCATCAGTTTGCCATCAAACCAGATGCTCGGGGTCGCCATTCAGTTCCGTTAGAAACATGTGCAAACATACCATTCTCTTTTTTATATAAACTGACCGCGTTATACCAAAGTACTTTATAAGGTGGTTCTTGTTGATACCCTGCCTTGAGCTCAGCATTAAGGGGATGGAACTAGGACTGGTTGTCCGGGTCGGTATATGGATTTGAGTCATGTCAAACAACAGTATGGTATCTTGCACGCACTATAAACCGGCATACGGCTGGACTGCAACACAAACAAATACGCACGCACGACACGCACGCAAGCACGCACGCACACGTTGCAGCACATGTGTATTGTGTCCAAATGTGGAGTTCACCCTGAACATCCGATCCCTACGACATGCATGGGTTACTGAAGATCAATTCTAATCTGGATCTTCACGGGTTTATCCATTGTTAAACATATCATCTTAATATGCACCGAGAGGGGAAACGACACGACAATGAAAGAACTATACGAATCGCTCCAACAGGTGACACATACATGTACACCAGGCCACTAGTGTATTGGAATTGGTTTAGCTATGAAACAAATGCCACATGGATAGATAAGGTATTAACAACAGCATGAACATCGGAATAATTTATCAGTGAATAGGTGTATATTTTGTCTTTGGACAATGCCATGACATTCTCATGGTTAATTAGCGTTTGAAGTACAATCAAGCATGCTCTTCGAACATTTCAAAGATCGCTATGGGACTTCAGTTTCCAAGGCCTCTTTAGGGGCGGTGGGGTAGCTTAGTGGTTAAAGCGTGCGAACGTCACACCGAAGACACTTGTCGATTCCCCACATGGGTACAATGCTATACTCACTCACTGCTAAACCTTTTTTTTCCAAATTCAACACATCAGTCACAAAAAGTATCCGATGCAGTTCTCTAATTGGTTTTGTACCATATATCGCAGGATTCTTTTCAGGTGCACAGTTAACCGTTGCGATTGTGACAAGTGCGATTGGTTGGGCAGGAAGTGCTAACCTCTTGCAAACACTTGGTATGATCACTATTTGATAGTGATTCATTAACTTGACAACAATAGTCAGACGCGCACAGCTGACTCACAGTAAAGTTTTCTTATGATCATGCCAACTGCTTTTCTCTTTTATTTGCCTCTTTTTATGTCAAATGTCAAATCAACAACATTTTACGAATGTCCTTTTTTTTACTTTTGCTCATTTCATCCTCAGACTACTGGAATTGTTTGCTGTCTTTCACTAAAATTATTGTTCTAGGACCTCTCCTGGAAGTCAGACACGTTTGTTTAGACTCTGGACTGGTGGCCAGGCAATAACAGATGATCAAAGATAAAGACGTTTAAAGGCTTTTGGTTTGTTCCTTTCTGGGCGGAAATATTGAGTCTGACAAAATGTTTGTTTTGAACGTAGCTGCTTTGTGACAATGCATTGTGTCGACACAGCCATCATAATCGGAATACCCTGATCCCGACAATTATACACAAAGTCATTTGTCGAAATACAAAACCTTTTATTTGACTCGGTGTTCTTAAACATAATGTGTTTTAAATATAAACGATTCTTTGGTGCCTCTTTTCACA